CTTGTTGTATGTTACAACAAAAAGTATTAAGTATGCAGTTTGGCATACATGTTTTTTAAGTAAGTGTGTGTTTGTGCGGCTCTCATGTCCGTTGATGAAAAACACATCGCAGTAATTTATTATGCATTGTCTCATATCTGCATGCAGACGAAATTATAAGTGGCCTGCAGGAAATATTACGTGAACAGACTACAGACCAACGGTGTGCGAAAAAATTTCACGGCAACGACTTCATTAAAAATTTTAATATTTCTATTGAAAATATAGGAAAAGTTTAAAAGGCAACAAAGTCTAAGTGGTAGAAGTTATAGCAGCTATTTCGGAGATCACCACATCTCCTCATCAGACTTCGGCCTTTTGGAGCTGGCTGTTGGTCAGGTGTTGATCGTTGGACATCAGTTTGTGCTTTACATTATGGGGGAATGTTCAACGGTACATGCATAACCATTGACAAAATAAATTACTATTTAGAATTGTATCGCCTTAAATAAAATATGTATATATTGCTCCATGGGCTCTGCATTCTTAGATATTTATGTGAATAAATGTGTACATAGTTATGTTGACATATATGTATGTACATATCAGCTTTCGGCTGGCTTGTTTCGACTATTGTTTCATTAATTATTTACACAGTGTAATTCAAAATGGGCCATGCCGGCGTTGCCCCAGATGGAAGTACGTAATTTTCGAACTATGCAAATATACAGTGGACTAGATTAATTTTTCTATTGATTTAAAAACGAAATACTTCAAAGGTGAGGAAGTACTTAATATTTTAAATCATTTAGCTCAAATTACAATAGAAGAGTATATTCATTTTTTCATAATTCATGGAAATTTCCACTCCCTTTAAGTCTTATAAAATACTTACATACATATGCACTAATTTCAAATTTACAGGCCAATTCGGGCTAAGACAGTTGCAAGCCTTTTGTAAGGCAATTCAAAGAGGGTAGGCAAGATAGTTTGAAAGATTTTGTTTATTCTGGCACGAAAGTCTTACAAAAAAGCACGCTATCCAACTTTCATAGTGAGATGCCGTTATGTTAGAAAGCACTTCCGCATGTTCCAAATGGACATCTATGTATATCCAGTGAGAAAAGCACTGGCATTGCATTCGAGAGCTCTGCCAGCGGATTTTTTTTCTTTTGTTAATTTGATTGCATTTTATGATTTAGATTTTGTTTTAAAAAGAAAAAAAATTATAATCGAATTTTTAACCGACTTCACAAAAAGGAGAAAGGTTGTCAATTCGTCGGAATCGTTTTTTTTTTAAGAGTTTGGTTTAAATCCGATCATCGGATCATGAAGAAATTAACGATAATCTTCAATTTTTATAGGAGAATCGGAGTCGGTTTTGTTTTAGATTAAAAATTACTTGCTGTAAATTTATTTGATGTATTTTTTTATTTTTGAACTAATTTTCTTTTCTTTTTAATTTTAATTTCATTTGGTTTTTAAATTTTCTTTTAAAAATAGAATTTTTTACTTTTTCTTTAATTTTTGGATATTTTATATATGTTTGCTGAATTTTGTATTTCCAACATTTAATCTTCTTTTAATTTTGAGTTTTTTTTTATAAATTTTGTTTTTAACTTCATTTAATTTTTAGGAATTTAGTTTGTTCTTTTGTTGCAATTAAATTTTTTACTATTTATTTTCATTGCATTTATTTTTATGAACTTATTTTATTTTTTCAACAATATTATCGGGCTTGAGGCCGTTTTTTAATGAAAACTAGTGTGGAAAAACAACCACAGTTTATAAGGCGAACTTAGCGCCGAGGATAGGCTACTGGCTAAACCAGCTGGGGTCGCTTGATCGAAACCCACTGAAGAAGTCTGATGAGGAGATGTAGTGATCTCCGAAATATTTAGTTATCACTTTTTTATTATTGTTATTGTTGTTTTTCCATAATAGTTTTCATAAAAAAAACGGCCTTAAGCTCAACAAAATTGTTGAATATAATTGTTATAAGGCCATAAACAACAAAAACAAATAACTTATTTTATTTATTCTTGTATTGACTTTTATTGTTTTAATTCACTTTGCTTTTGATATTTAGATATAATTCTTTTAAAAGGAATTTTTTTATTGCATTTATTGTTTTAAAAGGATTTTTTTAACTCCATTTAATTTTAACGACGGCTTTTTAATTTAACTTGTGTTTTGTTCATTTAATTTTCTTATAATTTTTAGATTTTACTGTTCAAAAAGATTTTTTTTATTGCATATAATTTTTGGGATCATATTATTTTATTTTAGTTAGAATTTCTTTTAAGATTTAGTTTTTTAGATTCATTTCATTTTTGCCACTTTTTTAATTTAACTTCATTCTTCATTTAATTTGCTTATAATTTTTAGATTTTATTGCTTAAAACAGAAAGTTGTGTAATGTCACATAATTTTTAGGATCTCATTATTTAATTTCAATTTAATTTTTGCTTTCTTCAATTAAAACTTCTTTTAATTTCATTGACTTATGTAATCTTTTTTTATTTACTTTGTTTTTCTCATAGCATTTTCTTCTATTTTTTTTAATTACACTTAATTCTTATAATCTTATTTATCATTTTATTTCAATCAAATTTTGTCTTTCTTCAATTAGACTTTCTTTTAATTTCATTAAATTTTTTTAACAATATTTATTTAATTTGTGTTTCATCAATTAATTTTATTTTACTCGCTTGAAAAAAAAAGTTTTTTGATTATCATTTATCTTTTAGGAACTTATTATTTTATGTCAATTAGATTTTTTCTTGTTATTTTAATTTATTTTTAATTATTAATTGATATTAATTAATTTTAAGTTTTTAGAAAATTTTTTTTATAAATTTTTTATTTTGTTTATAATTTAATATTGTTTCAATTATTCTTAGTTGCCAGAATTGACAATTGCCTTAATAAAGTCTTTTATCTTTCCAAAGAGAGAATTGCCCTGCTAAGAGAATGTATAGCAATACTTTTTACAGTTTTACAAGACTGGAAAAAATACGATCACAGTTGAAACAATACTTCAAAGCCTGACACTGTATTTAATTGCATTATTTTCGTTCGAACGTGCATTACACAAGCGATGCAAGTACCTATAGGTACATGTATATTCATACAAATATACCTGCATGTATACCTGCACATACACACACATACATATGTATTAAACAAATGAAATTTGAAAACCTCTGTAAGCGTAGCTTTTGGTCTACTCGGTTACACGTTGACAGCCAGCAATGTAATACACCCCGCTGCGGGCTAAATCACACATACACACATACATAATGACATGAAATATTAGACTACTCTGCTTTGTTAATTAAATATTTGACATAGGTGCTTAATGCAATTTTTGTAGTGAAAAAAACCCATACCAATTTGGCGAAGTAGCGCTTTTATTTGGAAAATGTACACAATTTCTATATTAAATGTCAGCAGCTTTTGAAGATTTTCCGAAATTATACAGATGACTACTTAAAAATTACCTAAATCTAGAAACGCTTTTACGAAACAGGGTTTGAAGAACACGTTTGCTTATTATAGTCAAATTTCTGTCTAAAATTACTAATCTCATGCTGGTCAATATTTTAAAATAATGCCAGACTAGGCAAAAAGAATGTAAAATTTGATTTGAAAACCCCAAGGGAATTTTGCTCCACTACAGCACGGTTTTTTGAGTTTTATCTACAGTGATATGGAAGCCTAAAATTAAAGTTATTAAAATGGGCTACCTTGTCACCAATTTTTTTTAATAAGGTCGAATCAAATAAATTTTAAACATAAATAAATTTAGTCTGCTACGAAGTATGTTACAAAGACAAACAATTTCACGTTGGGTTGTTCTGATTATAAAATAGATAAAATTCTATCTGCATAAAGTATACAAGCGTCATCTACCTACTTATTACATACTTACCTGGTTAACACAAATCCGAGGTAGAAGCTCGGGTTAAACACAACGACCGCTTTCTCGATCACATGTTATGTGTATGATATCGATAACGATGTTTAAGAGTTGGTGATAACCAGACCATGAACAACCGGCTTTTAACCTTCAATATTTTATTTTTGCTTTTAATTGGAGGCAAAAAAAAACACTTAAGGCTCAGTTATGCACACTTTGCACTGCTATGCCATCTTTACATATGTAATGCTGTGCGCTGCATAACCGCTTAAACGCAAAGCTCATTTAACAGATTCCTTATGTGACAACTCTCACACAACGCCATTTAAACCTCTACTTACCATCAAATTATGACTTAAGATACTTTTATTACATGGCAGTTGAGAAGTGCAAAATTTCATAAAGGAAATTTTTGCACATGCAGCAGTGCAAAGGTACGCATTTAGGCGCCCAGCTTTATCAGTCGCATCTAAACACCAGGGGAAAAGAGATGCTGACATTGCATTGTAGGTCGTCGAAGTCAATCAAATGAAAGACGAGCTACCTCACGTGCAAACCACTCGGATGACAAGCGAGCGAGCAAAACTGAAAATGGTTCGAGAGTGACTGAAAATGTAAAGAAACTCATATAAGTTTTCTCAATTTCATAGTTCCATTTTATTAGGCTAAGCCACAGCAAGGCACTGCCGGGAAACTCTGGTATTTACATATATATATACATATTGTCTTGCGATTTTTGTATGATTTTAATAAAAACTGATGTCTAAGTTTCTAATAATTTCAAATATTGCATGTTTGTGGTATTAATATTGACTAGTTTATCCAGACATTGCCTATTTAAGAATATCTACATACCTACCTATTTGTCGCATGTGAATGTTTCTGTCGTCTAATAATAATTATTATTTATTTCGTCTGTACGTAATGCTCGTGGAATGTGTATGAAAACAAAAGTAAAAGTCTTAACTTATTCAAAAACCCTTTGAAACTTCAATGATTCAACAACCAACCCTTTCCCATTGTGTTTTCTTTTCACCGCGCTCGTATTTATTTTACCAACCATATACAAAAAAAAAATATCCAAAATTCAAATAAATAGTGCACCAATACCAATCAATCCAATACCACAACAACAACCAGCACAACACAATCGTCAACTGGTAGTGAAGGCAGCATTGAAGAGTTCAATGAGGAAGAACTCGCAGATGTGCAAGAAGTTGAAGAAGAATATGACGAAGAACAACACAGCAAGCGGGAGAAGGAAGAAGAGCTACGAGTTGCATACAAAGAAAACGGCCAATACCAAACTGAAGACGCCACTTGTGGCGCAGAAGTAAATGCTTATAACAATGAATTCAATTTGAATGATGATTTGCAGCCAATATCGCCAGCCGATAGCGGCAACGGCAACGGCAACGGCTACAATAACTACAACAGCAGCAATGAAGCCTTGGAAGCAGCTAACACAAACGTCGACGATTGTAACTGTGATTCCCTTACGGCAAATTATAATCTGGATAATTGCAATGTCAACAACAATGCCAATAGCAGCAATAGCAGCAATGCAAATGTCATTGCGAATGCTTTGAATATAGATACCGACACGAATAACACATTGCCCACGAACAACCCCCGCACAACCAGCAACAACACGTCCCCATCCAATTGTAGTGCCCCGAATGTCAATTCGACGCTTAATCGCAATCGGTTCAATAATTCGCATTCACATCTAAATTCGAATCAAAATCAAAATCTCAATTCCGATTCGAATCCAAATTTCTTAGCACAAAGCCGGAATCAAAATTTAATGCAAAATTCGAATATAAATGCGAATGTGAATGTGAGCGCACTTCAAAATCAAATGCATCCAAACATTTCCTCGAGTCTAGAGATAATTCTTTCACCAATTATACAGAGTAGTCGACGGTAAGTTATCCCTAAAAATTAAGTGGAAATGTATGTTTATTTACATATAATTCGTACTCGTATGTATATTTTCGTATTGTTCCAAAATCGTACATATGTATGTATGTAATTATATGGCAATCACTTACACATGTTTATATTGACATATGTACAATTATTAAATTTTATTCGAATTAAATAAAAGTTATATTTAGTTTTAGAAAAGGTTTCAAACGTAATATAATAGTATTTAGTAGTTATGCAGCCCTACTGTTAAATAAAATGTTCGATCATCTTTTAAAGTTAATTTCGTTATCTTGCAGTTGGAGTATATTTCGAGTAAAACCTTTTGAAACATAATGCAAATATTTGCATGCTTAGCATAAAATCGCTTAAATACCAATTAATGGATTTTTAAAAGAATTTATAAAAAAAACACTAGATATTATACACACCATTCCAATATTAGCACTTGCATACATTTACAGTACTCTGCATTAGTCCTGCCATATTTGTATTCGAACCTCAAAAATTCTTTATTTTTCAAAACACTCCAACCTTAGTATTACCTTCCAAACATACACACAAGTATTTATTTGTAAGCCATCAAGAGTATACTCGGAATAAATTATCAATCAATAGAATTGCAATCAGTCGGGCCGCCTAATAATTAATTTCAAATCTGCATAATAAAGATATTTTATAAGCTCGAAATTTTTGTAGAGATACATTTACACATAAGGCCAAAATAGGCAAAACAAACAAGAATTTATTTAAACAAAAATTTCGTAAAAAAATTTAACAAATTATCAGTTGAGGACGTTCCCACAACTTAGATGGTAGATCCAACAGCCTGAATAAGGCCTTCGGAATGGCCCTAACCAAGATCTGTCCCTGTACGTATGTTAATAAGGGTCGCACCCCTTGGTAGACTGAGAACCACACAGAGCTCCGGAAGCAAGTAAGGAAATCTTTCAACTAGGGTTACAAAAGTCAGGTCTGAGAATTACGCAAAATTAACTTAAGCAAATATTAAAAGGCGATCTGGTAGAATGCTTAGCAGAGAGCACTCTCAGTCAACGTACAAGTCTATAAAAAAAACTTGGATGATTCATTGATAAAGTCGGCTGGGGAATCAATAGGTATCCCTCTGAATACACCATTGGCAGGTGCAGGGTCAACCACGTGAAAAACGTTGCCGTCAGCTATTCATGAACACTCTCCAAGGACCTCTTGGCGGAGCTATTGGAGAGGGAAAATATAAAATTTGCTACTTTTAGTTTCTCACCCTTAAAATCACCGGGTATGGACGGAATATTAATAATGATGACTCAAGAAGGGTAAACGACGATTATTACGATACTCGTTGCACTTATTAAAGGCTACTTAATACTGAAGCGTGTTCCGCTAAGCTGGAGGAAGATTAAAGCAATTTTTATTCGCAATGTATTTGGGAGACTGCTGGACATTAAAATAAACTGAATCAATGTCGAATGTTGTGAAAATCTTTTAGTTTGTGATAGGCTTGTCTGATCTGTTCTTTTAGTGTAAATAAAACGACGTTATTTCACTTACGGCCCAACGTTTCGCTAATCTTCTTAGCATCTTCAGGGGCGTGTTTATTTTATTATATAAAATTCGTCAATGTTGTAGATAGAACGCCTACTTAGCAAACTATATCTGTAAGATATTCTTTATACGACATAGGAGACTAAGACCGAAATTTGTGAAGTGGATGTATACCGCCATCATAAAAACTCCTCAAACCAATGGCACAGTGGTCTGTATGCAAACATTATAATGTAGATAAACTAAATAGGTAGCTAAAAAAGATCAGTGGGGGCAGAAATAACGGGCACATTAAGGTCCTGCTCTATAGAGGCATTAAACAAAATTTTACACTTTATCCCCATTGATCTCCACCTAAAAGAAGTGGAATGAAATCTGCAGTCAGAGCAGAAAATCAGACAATTTGGAACTAGGCAATTCAGGCACGGAACGATCATCAACGTAATACAATCACGACAAACGGTCGAATATATGGTACCTCACCTCAGCTTCAAAAATATACTAGTAAGAGTCCCATCCAAAGCAGAGCCGAATGGCCGATAAAGAGACAATCTCCCTCTAAAATTCGAGGCTGTCACAATAGGATTCTCCTTGGAGTCGTTCAAAGAGAAATTGGTTTGCATTTTCGTGGACTGGCAAGGAGAAGGGGGTCGGTCATAAAGACTTGCAAAAAAAAGGAACTCTGGCCTAGCTATAGCATGCCCAAGACACTTGAGCTGCTTAACAGATCAAGGGCAGCAGTATATAGAATTATAGCAAGCATTACCGGCCACTGGCAGAGATAATGGTGCTCCCATATAATATAACTAAACTAAAATTTACAAAAAAAAATAATATTTTTAAATCAGTGAGAAAGGCTGCACTCGTTGGTGGTGGCAGTGGATAAAAATGCCAGTTGGAGAGGGATTTGGCATCAGTTGGCATTTCCAATTGGCGTCAGTTAGCACAGAAGAGACACGAATAGCCAACATATAAGATACCACACAGCTTCATGTGTAAATAAGTTTTGTCTTTGTTAGCTTCTATTTTCCAATTTCAGATTTTCAAAGAACAAATAGCATCGAAGAAAGTCCACATATCGAGCCCTAACCACGAAAATTATGTATATATATATATTTTTTTTTTTTTAAACTTACTCTCTGATGCAGATGCTCCAGATCAGTAGTCATCGCCGGTTTCAACAGCAATTTAAATGATGAAAATGATTTCTTACTCTCTGTCTATTTCCATATAAAATTCGAAAAATTAAAATCATTTTTTACTTAAATTACCTATCATATCTCATTCGAAGTTAAGATTTTCAGATGGCGCGCCTATTAAAAATTTATTTTCTTTAAATATTTATAGAGTATCTCTGTGTATACATAGCATCGATACATGTATGCGCGCCAGTGCGGTTGTTTGTACTGTTTTCCCAAATTTATTGAACCGGTACCCATTTTTACATTTGCTGCTAAATATATTTAAAAGTTGTCAGCAAAATTTCGAGAAAGTTTTTATAAGTCAAACAGTACAAACGAGGATAGGATCATAAAGCACAACAATAATTTGCAAAATTAATGACAAATGCAAAACTCATGAAAGCAGCAAAAATGCGAAGCAAACAGACAGCAGCAAATGAATTGAAATAAAAAGCAATAAATGGCAAAAATAAAACAAACAAATAAGTTGCAAATGTTTGTATAATGTATAAAATATTAATATTCATGAAAGCTGGAAAAGTTTTGGCCATAAAAAACGCCAGCATGCGGGAGCAAAAAAGTTTGACGCAGAGTGGATATTGAACGAAGATGTGCCTGCAAATCGAAAGAACAAAGTGTTTTGCAACAGTGCGAGAACTGCCAACGCCACATGGCCTAAAACGCAAGAACAAATAAGGAAATCATACAACATAAATATGTACGTACATATACAGATGCACATACAAATGAGAAAGCAAAAACAAATTAACAAGAAAACGACAATAACACCAAAGGGAAATGTAGATTTCCGCGCGCACTAAAATATATTTGTATAAAGTATATATGTACATATTTACGTACATATATTTATTTGCGCAAGGGATTTCGCGAATTTCGCAGTTTCCACCGAGCCGTTTGCCTATCTATACGGCCAGCCTGGCAAGCCGCCTGATTGTCTGTTTAATGCATGAGAAAGTAAAAAGCTTTGCAAATATTTATAACGTTTGCACTTGCGCGCGCACACACACCCACACACACACACATATTTGTTTAGTATAAGTACATTTATATTTACATTGACTCAGAAAAAGAGACATAACAATTTTTGGCGAATATCAAATGGAGTCGACATACAAAAAAAAAACAAAAACAATACACAATCAACTTTCAATTCCAATTTCGTTGGT